CTGAGAGCAGTGGGTGATAGAAGAGATTCATTTCAATAACATTTAAAATTAAGAATACTTCATAGCATATTCATGCTAGCATACAGATAGATGACTGCCACAACAGGCTAGTAATAATCACCACAGTAACTGTTATAAGCAAAAACATTCCAAGAATCATGGGATATTAAAATACTCTAAAATCCTACCAAAAAATCTTCTTTGTTTAAATTTCCAAACTAGATTCTAAGCCACTATTCCCAGACAAACAATGGGGAAAAAAATCAAACATGCTTCAGTTTACTGAAATAATAAATTGCACTAAGGAATGAGTAAGATTGCAATAACAATGAACAGATGGACACATGGAACAAAAAAGTTCTATACATTATCTTTGAAAAAGATAGTAATCAAATTAGTTCAGAAATATTAAATATTACTCTCTCCAAAAGCTTGAAGGTCGACTATATTGCCCAACTGAAGAAAGTGTCTGAAAATATGGTGTCAATTCCAGGAATGAACAAGTGTATTACCACATTCTTGCCTCTGACAGCCCAGACTACACTGCTCAGTACGAGTAACAGTCTAAAAGTGGAATCAGGTTATGTCACTGTCCAGCACTTTCCAGCTATACTTATCATAAAACAGAAACGCTTTCCGATGGCCTCGTGTCCCTAGAAACCTCGTCCTTGCCTCCCACACCAACTTCATCTTGTCCCAAAGTTCCTGACAAGGCTAAGCTCCAGCCCCTGGCCTGCCTTGTTTCTTGAACCAAGCTCATTCCCACATCAGGACCTCTGCATTTAATGTGTGCTCACTCTGCCTAGGATTCTCTTTCCAAGAGATATACCTGGTTGGTGGCTATGACCTAAATGTTGATTATACCATCAGTCACCTCCTCAGATCATGTAATCCAGAGAGCCCACCCCTGCCCTCACCTCACCGCTCTGCATCACAGGCTTGCTTCAGGTCTCTGGAGCACTCTGTGCTACTGAGCCTTGTCTTGCCTTACCCCCTCTAGAGCATGGAAACTGCAGAGCCCTGCTACCTACTTCACCTCAGTCCCCACAGCATGCTGGGAGGCAGTCTGTGCAGGGGGTGAGGGAATGGGTGAGACTTTAGGAGAGCTGGGAACATGGCAATGGGGATGCCTTTCACAGTACTCAGGGTTGGGTGTGCAGCACTGAATAACTAAAGCTTCTTTCATTACTTTACCAGTTTTAAAATAAGCTTGGAAGACTAAATTGCCCTGCTGCTGGTTAGCAGCAATAGCACAGATTACTGTCCAGCATGTAGAGATGCTCAATTATAATTATTAGGAATTTCAAATACTAATATCAGTGAGTCATACAAAGGTCTTAGGGGGGAAAAAAACCTAAGTATGACTCAGTAAATTAGTAATCGAGGCAGTTGTCATAAATTATCATGGTTGTCCTCAAATATTGCAGTTCTCCTCCCCTATCAGGTACCTGAGGGGACTGCAATGCTCCCCTGACCAAGTTTTAAATTCAATGTGCCAGCCTGACTGTGACTAATTAATACAAATGAAAGAGTCATTTACTGAGACAAAGCCTCCATCCTTTTCGGCTCCTAAATATCTCAAAGCAGAGACCTATACTGATTCACACTGGATGTGTAACAAAAACAAGAAATAAACTGCTACTGTGTTAAACCACTGTGATTTTTGGAACTGCTTGTTAACTCAGCATTTTACTGCTTATCCTGACTGACAGAGCAGTACAGAATGGTGACCAAGAACCCAGGCCAAGTTTGTTTGATATCAAAGCTCTTTCATTTACTGCTGCAGTGACCAAGTGCAAGCTATAGCTGGCTCTCCGGGCCTCGATATCTTTATCCACAAATGTTAGTTAGAAAGTCTGAATTAATAAGAGTAATTAATAGTCTATGTTTAGCAGTGTGCCTGACATGTTTGTCAGGTACTCAATATATATCAAGTTTTATTAAAGCCTAGTGAATCTACTCTAAGGTACTATTAGCCTGTGTGCATTATGTCACTAAATCAATCTAGGAATTCAGTAGAACATCTCAAAAATTAAATATAGATGACCCCTAACTTAGGATGGTTTGGCCTAACAGTTTGGGTTTTTTTGTGGTTTTTTGGGGGTACCAGGGATGGAACTCGGTTCCTTGAGCTTGCAAGGCAGGCACCGGAACCACTGAGCTAAATCCCTGGCCCCAGCAGTTTTTTACTTTATAATGGATTCATCAGGATACAGCCCCACAGTAACCTGAGCAGGGTCAGTGTGGACTCTTAAAGAATAAAGGATATCTAAGATCTGAAAATAGAGAGCAGAGAAAACAGGGAAGAAGAGGAAACACAGTAAGTGTTCCTTCTCCTGCCAGCCAGGCAGGGGCTCACTAAGAAGGAACGTGGACTCACATAGCTGGCTCTACACTGAAATGACAGAGGTACAGGAAGGGGTCAGATTAGAGTTCCTCCAGGGGAGCAACTCATAGCTCGTAGCTGGGCTCCATGGGAGTCTGGAGAGCTACCTTGCCAGGAAGGACTTGGAACACATAGACACAACTGAGCCTACCACCTCAAAACACCACTTTCATGGTCCATGCTTACGATACTGGCAAGCATCAGACTTCACCATTTCTTCTAAAGAAATCGCTTTCAAGCAATATGGTAAACCCACATCCAGGAACCTTCTGCCTCTAAACCTCAGTGACAGGTACACATGAAAGAAACGATTCTGTGCTTCTGTCTTAAGAGACCCTGCCCATTATGGGACAGACAGGACAGCTAAAATTCACCAAAGCAGTGCCAACCAAATCCTAGAGAGAATATTCCAACCATAAAATAACCATTGGGATTTTAATTATAAGTCAATCTTTTTCAAGTTCAAATATTTTCAATGCCTAAATCTTTTGCGTAGTCATTTTAAAGTTTTTGATGGATTTATTGATCATTTTCACCAGCTGAGTATGAGAAGATAAACACAAGTACAGCATAAACTATCCTGAATATTCTTAGTTTTTAAAAATTACTAGGACAATTGCTGAAAAATAGTGATAGTTTTTTTTATGCTATGACATAATAATTAGGTCCCAATAGCCTGCAAATAAATTCTTCCAATAATGAAATATAACTAAAAATGTTGAAAATTTTAGTCACAAAAAGTGGACAACTTTTATAATCCAAACAAAACTTTCAATAGTACCAGACCATGTAAATTATACCCCAATCAGAAATGTGCTAACCATTAGAAACATGAGGATACTTTTCCACTGATATTTGGCATTTGGCATCAAAGGCAGCCCTCTATAGATCTGACATTAAAACTTGTCAAAAGCAAAATGAAATTGCAAAAGAGCCAAGAAAAGAAATGGGTATTGCTACAACTCTTTTGAATGGCATGCGGGCTTAAACACAAGTTCATTTGATATAAAGGGAACATTAAAGCAAAACTGTTAGGCATTAAAAAAAAAGTCCAAACACAGTAAAAACATGACTAGGGTATAAGGATTAAGGCATAATTAAGCCTAAGGTTAAAAGTGTAGGCACTTCAAATAAAGGATCAGTCAACAGTAATGCAACAGGAACAAAGTCAATGTTTAGATTCCACTTTGGAAATATTCACCATCATTCTTAACCAGAATCAAGATTCCTCTAACAATGGTACCCCAGCAGTAGAAAAATAAGCTTCTTTAGGTGATCAGGTTCACATTTAAGAGCCAATCTTGAAACAGGAAAATAAATGAAATCTATGACATATATTCATATAACTGTGACAGACGATGACTGAAAATCTACTCTGTTCTTTCTCCCTCCCTCTTCACCATTTCAAAACTAATTTGCCATCAAAAGCATCTCAGTAAATCTCCAAGTTTTAAAATAATAGAAACCATGTGTCCCATGTGTTCACCAGATTCATTTTTTATGATGTATAGTCCTCTGCATTAAAATAAACATTTTCTGATAAAGAAAGTAATGGAAAGAAATCAAAAGAATCCATTCCAAGAATTTTACATCCTTCACGGGATTGGATTTGTTTTTTGTATGGGGGGGGGGGTGGTACCAGGGATCGAACTCGGGTCCTTGCGCTTGTGCAGCAGGCAGCGAAACCACTGAGCTAAATCCCTGGCCCGGGACTGGATTTATTAAACTCTAACACCTAATGAAATGACCTGAGACCTCTATTTAGAAGCATCTGTAAAAGATAAAAAAGTTGTCTAATGTTTCAGGGGATAGAGAAACAAAATGTTTTCAAGTCTGAGAGTTTTAAGGTAAGGACGAAAATATATTACATACTTCACATTTTTAGGTTTAGTTCTTCATATTTTAAAAGAATGTGTTTACGAAGATTTTTAAGAGAATGTTTCTGACGCCCATAAATTTCTATAACTACAAGCAAAATGATATTGAGAAAATACGAATGCTACTCTAGAATACATGAAATCCATACAAGTGATTCTACTTATCAGAACACCCTCGAGCTTACAGAAATATCCATAGCAGAACAGTTAAATCTCCAGGTAATCCCACACCCATCTATAAAGAGAAATACACCTTACATTTCAATATCTGTCCTCTTTATTCTCTGAAAAGGATTTTCAAGGACAAAATTCTTAAAGTTTGGGTTTGACCAGCTGCAGTTTCTAAAAATAACTTTCCATCTTCCCTTTTGAATCAATGGAAAATTATAAAATAAGAAATGTTAAAAATGAAAGTTGAATAAGCTTCAAAACAAACAAAGACCAAAACCTCACACAAGAGTGTGGCTGGGAAGAGGAAAAAAAAGAAAGTCTAAAGTAAAGTCCCTAAGAATGAGCCCTCCACTCAAGAACCCACACAAATGCCAACCCACGACAAAGCAATGCACATTCCACTCCATCAACAAACGCACACTGTGAAAATAACGAACTAATACATGGTGTTAAGAAACGAAATTAAAATCTGAGCAGAATGAATATGTGTGTTACTGTCTTTAAAATCAAGAGCTGGTCTAACATCTAGGTTATGTATTTGTATAAATTTTTATTTTTAAACTCACCTGATTCATTTTCAATTCCTGTTGTGTTCTGTAAAGATACACACAACAAAGAAACTTCTTTGATTACATGAACCCTAAAAAGAAAAACAGACAAATGTAATATGTACCTGCCTACAAATTTACAGTGATTTAAAACCACACACAGAACTGCAGAGTTTGCACAAAGGGCTGTTCACACAGCAACTCCATGCTAGATCAACTTCAATCTACACTGACAGCTTACTTCTCAAATTTATTATCCATAATAAAACAGATTTCTTATTATTCCTTACTAGGCCTTCAATGTACTGTACAATTGAAAGCAGACTCATTAGAATGACATCAAATTTCTGCTTTGAAACTGCATCACTCCTAAAAATAAATTAGCTTTGTTAACAGTGAGAAATGCAAAGTATTGAGGAGTAAGTCATTATGCAAACAAAGCAAGTATCCTTCTTTTGCTGGTATCAATGTGTTGCATGCAAACACAATGAGAGCTTATTACATTACTGTTTTTCAAGTTCCTGAAGCAGAAATGTGAATTTACTAACACTGGCTATGGTAAATTACCCTTGAGGAAAAGAACAAAACATGTGCAATAAAATGCAAATAAAAGGGCTGGGATTTAGCTCAGTGGTTTTGCCGCCTGCTGCACAAGCGCAAGGAGCCGAGTTCGATCCCTGGTACCAAAAAAAAAGCAAATAAAAGAGGTTTGGAAAAAGCTATAGTAATTCCTTTAAAATTCTGTGTTCAACATATTATTAGCATACGAGAATAAGACAATGAAATATTTTCTTGTAAACACATTAATCATAGTCATATACCACATTTCAGTCGGCGACAGACCACACACCTGACAGTGGTCCCCTAAGATCATTTTGCCTCGTGACTGTCTTAGCAATGTTGTGTCAGTTCATTTATGATGTTCACATGGTGACAAAACTGCCTAATGACGCATTTCTCATGACACATGCAGTCATTAAGCGATGCATGGCTGTACTCGTTTTCTAAATAATAATCTATCCAGATGGTCATTTCTGTGGTGTATGTCTTAGGAGCCATTTGATGTCATTCATAATATGTGAAAATCGTGCCACTTTAAGTACAATTTCCACTGTAATGTTCTAAATGCTTTCAGTATATGGACACATACACGCACCTTTAAGTGTAAAACTATTTCTTCCGGGATTTATTTATAATAACTTCTCTTTCCTTCCTGGCCCATAAGACTCTGCTTATAACTATAAGTTTCTGTTTTTACTGTTAATAACCCAAGGAATTTCTAATATAATGGCATTCTTCTCACCAGAAGAATATACTTCCTGCCCGCCGTCACAAAGAATATTGTTTTCCATTTCACATTTTACCCTAGTTTTGTGAGGAGAGTTGACTTTTTCTCTTTTCTCCAGCTGTCAGCCACACTCACCTGATCACTTTTAACAGGCAAAGGCATAACATTTCAATTATGGTCTGGTCATCTGAACTATTTTGTTTTTAATTTGTAACAGGCACAAAGAATGTATTCCATAAAAATGCATCTTGTTAAGAGAGAGCACTATCCAAACCAATGTATATGCCTAATAATTAAATACTCAGTAAATAAAACATCCATAAAAGAAGGGTGACCCACGGATGTCCCTTCTTTTAAAGTATAACAAAGAGCATCTTTCTCACAGATACTTAACATGTCCTTCCATGGTATACACATCACATATTGAATATAATCCACCCACTGCATGAGACTTAAGATTGTTATAATGTTAAAAATGTACACTTGGGGGTTGGGGATTTAGCTCAGTGGTTTCGCCGCCTGCTGCACAAGCGCAAGGACCTGAGTTCAATCCCCGGTACCAAAAAAAAAAAAAATGTACACTTGGGTGTAAAACAGTGATAAGGTTCATGGGCTCCAAAACATGCATACCTAACCCTCTTGGCCATAAATGCTTACTGACTACCATCAGTCCCGTTGGGCGGTCCAATGTGACAGCTTACACCCTGGCTGAATAAGGTATTAGGGCTTCCACTTGTCCTCTCACTGAGCTTTTATAGGTAGGTTTATTCACTTTGGCCAAAGGGAGTTCTCCATGAGGAACAGACAAAAACTTAAGAGTCAAATGCAAATATTTTAATGAGAGATGTTTGAATGGAGCAACAATGCTAGGCCATTTCCCTCAATTTGTCATTTCCTCCTCATGAGAGTCATCAGTTATCACAATTATTATGTATGGAACTTCTTCCAAGGGTCAGCAGGCACTGTAAAGCCTTCACATAATTAGCTCAATAATCTTCACTGAGGTAAGTACTAGCATTCTCAATTGATAAGACAGACTCAAGAAGGTAAAGATAACTTGGCCAAAAGTCCCTAATTCCGGTTTCTATCATTTCTTAATTACATTTCACTCTTGTTTGGTTTTGTTTTGTTTTGGGATGTTTTATTTTTTGTTTGTTGTATTTTAAAGCTTTACTGAGATATTCATACACCATACAACTGACATTTTAAATGTGCAACTCGAACATTCACTATATTTACAGAGTTCTGCAACTATCATCACAATCAATTTTAGGACATTTTCTTCAGCACAAAAAGAAATCTGCTTTTTATCACTATAGATTAGATCGTGTCCAATTCTGAACATTTCATACTGTCAAAGGACAAATGACAACAATTAAGTATAAGGATCTTTCTTAACTAGCTATATTTTTGATTCTAGAATGGGGCAACACTTTTTTCCATAAGACAGAGTAAGTGTTCCCTCAGCCACCATGACTCCTGTCTACCCTGAGCCCAAACACTGTTCTGGAGCAATGAACAGAGGGAAGAACCCTGTCCTGTAGAGGAGTGGACCTGCAATGCACAAATACACCAAACACAAAACATTTAGTACATCAGATAAGAATATGATTCAGAAAAAAATAAATAGGAAGAGGAAGAGAAGGATTATAATCTCTGTATCTAGGTCTACACCCACCAAATCAACAATCTGGTGACAGAAGGACTGAGGAGCCCTCTCATAAAACCCAGTAAGGAGAAGATATGTACGCCTGAAAGGTTTAGGGAGGAGCATTGCGGGAAAGCGGAAGTATGAGTAGGAAGCCTCCTGTATAGTGGGCCTGGGGCTGAGGGTCAAGGATGCTATGGAGCTGTGCAGAGGTGGGGACAACATGCAAGTGGTGATGTCACAGCAAATGCCCAGTGTAGGTGACAGGTGATGCTGACTCAGTCCGGGTGGCAGAAGAAACAGACAGGATAGGGACGAGAGACAGAGATGGGGACCTGGACAGGGACTGGACTGGATGGGGACTGGACAGGAAGGGAGGGAAGAGGGAGGGAAGAGGGAAGAGGGAAGGGGGCAGAGAAAAGGGGGAAGAGAATGGGAAAGGAATGTGGAAGGGATGGGAAGGGGAGGGCAAAGGAGAAGAGGAAAGGGGAAAGGGAAGGGGAGAGGGAGGCGAAGGGGAAGAGAAAAGAAAAAGAAAAAAAAAAACAGAGCCTCCAAATTCCGCTGCTGAATTAGGGGTGAAGTATGAAAAAAAAAGTCAAGGGTGGCACTGAGGTCTTTGTCCCGAGGATCTGGGAGGATGGAGCAGCTGCCTTTCCATCTGGTTTTCATTTGTTTTTCCTTTTTTATTTAACAGTTTTTTCCTTTCCTTTTCTCGCCCTTTCCCATTGCCAGCTCACAGGCCCAATGCAAACAACTGACCTATCCTGACATCTGATATTAGGCAGCTAAAACAGTACAGTACTTAAAGCATTTTATTCTTTATTATCTGAATAAATGACAACTTTTTCTAAATTAAAGAAAGTATAACATAAATCAGATTGCTACATGATTCCCTCCTGGCATGTAATATGGTCAGATTATATATCTAAAATATTTTACAACACAAAAACCACTGCAAGTCTGTCACTGGCTTTGGAGCTGAGAATTGCTGAAATTCAGTAATCATCTGACTAGCTGCAATCTGACATGAAATTATGTATTTTTTTAAAGCGACCCCAGACTCCTCAAACACTGCTTTGGAGTAACTTCCTTAAGATTCCTCCAGCCCTGCTCAAAACCCCTCGGAAGTACCACAGCAAACCTACATAATGTTTATGTTCAGCATAGAGTTCAACAGCACCACTTTTACATACCACTTACCTCATGTCAAATCAGTTAAAAATTTAACTAATGACCTTGAGGTCAAAGTTTTGTCAAATGCGAGAAATTTAATGATCAATCCAATTAATGAAGAGGCTAGAAATCTTCCCAGACATACCAATGAAACCTTAACCATCCTATAAAAAATATTTTAAAGCTAAAGAATAAAGGACCTTCGGCTTTCTAATTTTAGATCCTGAAAAACTTTAAAAGTCCAGTACTCTTCTGACAGCAGATTATGCCTTCATTTCTCTTCTGGATTTCCATGCCTGGATAAACAATATTAAGTATTTCCATAGGAATCCCTGAACATGTCTCTGTATCCCTCCTGTTCAACCTTGCTGATATGGATTAATCCCTGGAGAAGCAGAAAATGTACACTGGATAGATATATCTGTAAGTTTAGAGCCTAAAACCTTTATCACCAACTATAGTTTACTAATAGCATGCTCTCAAAGAAACAAGACTTTGATTACTATTGTCTATATCTATGATTTTTAAAATTTTTATTTTATTAGTACATGTCTGCAATACATGTAGTTTACAATCATCTTGGGGAATGGTTATATGTACATACTATACCTTGTTTCTTTTTTTAAAAATCCCCTTTCCCTTCCTCCTCCATATATATCTACAATTTTAATAAATGCATATACTTAACTTTGCAAGCTACTGCTTTCAAATTCTTGAACAAACCATCCTTAATCAATATTTAACTTACTATCTTCATGGTGATTTGATTATAAATTATCAGCAACAAAACAGTAACAAGAAAATAATTAGGGTCTTTATTCAAAGACTGGTCCTTTAAAATCTCAAATCTCAAGATAAGCTGGACAACTGTTAAGCTGCTGTCATCTGATATGGAGGTCTAGAGACAAGAAAATCTAGAGATAAATGGGACACCCCTGTCCCTGGGTACAATTAGCCCCAGTCCTATCTCCCTCAAAAAT